CCCCCTTGGGTTGTTCGCCGCCCTGAGTCCCGCAGGGAATAGGGCGGCATATAAATAAAACAAACCTCAAACCTCAACACAAAGAAGAGGGGGTCAAGTTATTTTTCCAAAGCACCAGAAGGCAAGACAAGGAACTATGGATGGAAACTAATCAAGGAGCGAAGCAACCTGGAATTAAAGTGAAGTTTCCTAACTGTGAGGACAATTAAGCAGTGGGACATGTCTATGGAGATTCTCAGTCATCCAGGTCATGGTTCTCCCAAAGGTGTTTTTGACCCCCTGTTCTTTTTGTTGTTGTTGTTGTTGGCTGCGGGGTCATGTCTGACTCATCACAACCCCATGGACAATGTCCTTCCAGGTCTTCCTGTCCTCTATCATCCTCTGGGGCCTCTTTAAGCATAAGCTTCTTTGTGGCAGCCCCTCAAATACTACAACACTGCTATCATGTCATTCATTCCTAGTCCTTCATTTCTCTAGAGTAGCCATATCTTAATCTTGCAATTGTTCTTCATATGTTTTTGCCTCCTGGCCTTTGAACATCTTAGTTGCTCTTCTCTGCGCTTTTCCCAAAGTCTCAACATCTTTTTTTGCGCGTGTGTGTAACCTGGTGACCAAAACTGGCTGCAAAACCTTTGGCTTAGAAAAGCAACGCTGACCGCCTGGATTGGATTTCTATTTGCTGGCATCGGTCCAAAGGGAAAGCAGCGAGTCTGAACTTTTTTGGGGGGGAGGGGAAAGCGCCGGCCACCCCGCCCCTCCCGTCCCAGGTCCAGCTTCCAAGCGCGGGGGGGGGACGACTGAGCATTAAGCGCGGAGCATGCGCGCAGGGGGAGGAGGGAGGGGAGAGGGACGGAGCGGCGGGAGGGGTGGGGAGGTGGGAAAGAGGCGGCCGCTGTTTATTTGCAGCCGGCCAGGCGGAGCAGCGGCAGAGCGCGAGCGGCTGCCTCGCCTGCCTTTCGGGGCGATGCAGGCGCGGGGCGAAGATGAGCACGGGGACCGCTCGGCGGAGCAAGGCAGTTAGCCGGGCGGGTGCAGCGGCCGCCTTCACGGGATGGGGTCGGCGAGCGGGAAGCGGAGCAGCCGAGCGCCGCTGCCCCAGCCGCGGTGGTTAGCTCGAGCTGGCCGGCCCGGGCGCTGCGGGGCTGCGGCGCTTTTGGCCGCCCTCTGCTACTGGAACTCGCTGCAGGGCGAGTTCGTGCACGACGACGTGTGGGCGATCGTCAACAATCCTGACGTGCGACCGGGAGCCTCGCCGCTGGCCGCCTTCTCCAACGACTTCTGGGGCAAAGGCATGGGCGAGAACACCAGCCACAAGTCTTACCGCCCGCTCTGCATCCTCACCTTCAGGTAAGCCGGACGCCGAGCCTCGCACCGCGCGCGCGGGTCGTGGGAAAGGCTGAGGCGCTGCAGACACGCGAACTCTCCCGCGGAGGACCTTACCCTGCTCGAATCGGCGACCGGAGCCGAGCCTTATATAACAGCCTCCGCCTCTTGCAGTTCAGGGTATGGTCAACGCTGACCCGACTATCTGCTCCGGGACAATCAATCCCTCCCTCCTGGGATGCGTGTTTGAGTCCCGATTTCTTAGCAGGTTGTCTCACTAGACTGTGAAGTACTTTTATTTTATGTATTTATTTTGGGCTGTCAAGCATGTAGGAGAAAACAAGTACAAGTATGAATGCAACATATAAACACATAAGTATAAGCAGGAGTACGTCTATAGATAAGAAATGAGTACAAATAAATGGGGACAGTAGGACAGGGACCTGTAGGCATGCTGGTGCGCTTATGCATCCCCCCCGCCCCTTTACGGACCTCTTAGGAACGGAGTGAGGTTGACCACGGAATGGAAAGACAGAGAAGAATCTGAGTATTATGAAGTTTGGAGTATATGGTGTAAATGGCTAGATGTAAAACTACTGTATCAGGATTATGTAATAGCTGCAATAATACAACAATATATTTGTAAAAATTATTACAACCTAAATGTCTATATAATATAGAATATTAAACTATAGAAAGAGAAATTATGTAAATATGAAGGATATCAATACTGATACAGAAAGGCTGTAATGAGTGGAAATTTGTGTTTTGTTTTTTAATGTTTAAATATGTTTAATATATTTTTTTTAGAAAGGAAAGGGGTGTGGTCCATGGTAAGACAGTTTAAGGTTCAAGTTTTGGGGGTTTGAGGATGTAACGACAGAGCCGGGTAGAGCATTCCAGGCGTTGACCACTCTGTTGCTGAAGTCGTATTTTCTGCAATTGAGTTTGGAGCAGTTTACCTCGGGTTTGTATCGATTGTGTTTGCCCGTGTATTATTGCGGTTGAAGATGAAGTAGTCATTGACAGGTAGGACATTGTAGCAGACAATTTTGTGTACTAAGCTTAGGTCAGATTGTAGGCGGTGCAGTTCTAGGTTGTCCAGGTCCCAAATTTCAAGCCTGGTGGCATAAGGGATTCTATTGCGAGCAGAGGAGTGGGGTACTCTTCTCACCATCTACTTGGTGGATAAATACACCCTGCCTCCCAACTTTTAAAGTCTTTTGGTTTTGGGGGTCTTCTCTTTAAGACCCGCCTAGGAGGTAGCTGACATGTGTCGGCATAGAGAAGGTTTGGAGCCTGGGAATCACTCAGTTGCTGTCTTGCCAACTTCATTCCTAACAGCGATTTCTCGAATGTTTGCAGAGAAAGCAGCGAGTTCTCTTGGACACACCGACCCAGCAAATCGCCACAAACTTCTCCATCCTTGGGTTTTCTCAAGGGAGGTGCACTCTGCACATGGTTGGGGGGGGGGGACTGTTTTCTTCAGCCTGCTTTGCAAATCTTCCCCCCTTCTTTTCCCAACACTAAATGGGCACCAGGAATGGAGAAAGTGAAAGGCTTGTTGGCTTTGCACTATGGATCAACTGGCATCAAAGCACCTTGTGCATTTTTTAGGTGCAGTTGAAAAAACCCTACTTAAAATTGGGATTGGTCATTATGGATACTCAGATGAGATGGGAGTGGGATGTATAGAATAATACGTTCTATGCAAATGTATAAAAACATTGTGCACGTTTTACACAAATGTGTAGAAGAGGCTGGATGGAGTAACATAAGAGGGGTGTATGTATGAAAGGAGGAGACAGGTCTATCTGGAGTAAGTCAAGAGTAGAAAATGTTGACTGCAGAAAATGAAAGGAAGGGCATGGGGTCAACTTTGTACCTGGCCATTGGGATCACGAGGTTTGCTAGCATAGAAATTTCTGTCTTGCTTTGAATGTAAATTGGGAAAAACACCCTGAGTGGCATAGAAGAAGTGCCTTATGGATGCTATTGGCACCCATAATATAAGGTTGGGCCAAGGGCAAGCTCAATGCCTCTCCCTGATGCCTCTTAGTCGATCTTCCTGTACGTTTATTTGCTGCCCCAATTCTGTTGTTTCTGACTCCCCACAACTCAATGCTGGTGTGAGGGGTAGGACCTTTGCTATGCTCACAGAATACAGCTGAACCACATGCCGTCTAGTTGTGTTGTGTGAGCCCAGCGTACATGTTCAATCTGTGCTTTTGTTTGTACAACACACTAAACCACAAATTATCCAACCACATTTTTGGTCTACATGCAAACACTATTCCAGAGGGTCCATATGTACTGTACAAACCCAGAAAATCGTGTTTGGCGTATCTAAACATGGCTATGATAATGATAGGTGAAAATGTCATGTTAAGGCAGCCTCTGCTTCACCCAGACTTTTAAATTGGATAATAACTTAATAGCTTAAGAGGGCTGGAGTTTTTTGTTTTTTTTTTGCTCCCTCTTTATTCTTTGTTTCTGTCCCAGGGTTGGATAAAGAAGTGTTCTTTTAAGAAATGGGGTGACCTTTTCAGAAGTATTGTGTGGCCTTGAATATTTTTCTTTGGGGAGGATTTTCGAAAAGATTAATGTCATTGTTTATTTTTTCTTTGTATAAAGATTCTTATCCATTTCCCCTTAATGCCAAAGGAGCCCTTCCTTTCCCTTAATTTCCATGGCTTACTGCTTGTGCCTCAGAGTCTCTGATCTGTTTTCCATTTGTCTTCTGGAGTCATAACTTCTAAGCATATTATTTTTCTGCCATTCTTGGACCCGTCTTCATTTTTAACACTTGCCCACAGCTGCCTCTAAGGGACGTGGTGGCTCAGGGGCTAAGATGCTCAGCTTGTCGATCAGAAAGGTCAGTAGTTCGGCAGTTCGAATCCCTAACGCCGCATAATGGAGTGAGCTCCCATTACTTGTCCCAGCTTCTGCCAACCTAGCAGTTCGGAAGCATGTAAAAACGCAAGTAGAAAGATAGGAACCACCTTTGGTGGGAAGGTAACAGCGCTCCGTGCGCCTTTGGCGTTTAGTCATGCTGGCCACATGACCACGGACCTCTTCGGAGTGCGTTGGCTCTTCGGCTTTGAAACAGAGATGAGCACCGCACCCTAGAGTCGGGAACGACTAGCACATATGTGCGAGGGGAACCTTTACCTTTATCCTTTTAAAAAAAATCTATTTTTCAATTGCTTTCCTAATGATTCTAAGCCTGGAATTTGATTCTTTTACTGCAGTTACACACTGGATTGATGGTTTCATTGAACTGTCCATTGTAATTGTAAGATTCTTTCCAAGCTGTTCATTCCCAGCTCGGATTCTATCTATAAGAATACCGCATAGGTGCAATTTGCATTTTTGCGCCAACATGTTTCACCTTGCATTAGGTTCCTCCGAACTACATTTGAAGACCACTGATCTGGTTTCAAGAGATACCAAAAAGATACCTTTGTTATCCTTTCCAACACCATAAAATAATGGGGGGAAAAACATTTAAAGGAAGTGGAGCTGGATCAGGCCAGAGGGTTCAGGGGAAAAAAAATCTAAACGATTCCCATGGACAAGATATTTGGGTAAAAGTTCAAATGTACACAACTGATCCGTTCTATGCTCTTCCTCCTCAGTTCCATGATGCAAACTGAAATGCTGCAGGGTGCGCATACAGGTTTTTTTTTGTTTACTGACTATCTTGTTCCAAAGGTGCTTTTTCAGGAGGCAAATGGGCTTTCTTGTTTTTCTTTGAAGGCGTTTCGCTTCTCATCCAAGAGGGATTCGAACCACCAAACTGCCAACCTTTCTGATCGACAAGCTCAGCATCTTAGCCACTGCAACCTCTAAAACAGAGGTTCTCAACCTGTGGGTTGCAACCCCTTTGGGGGTCGAACAACCCTTTCACAGGAGTCACCTAAGACACGGGCGCACACTGCCCTCTTCTGACGCACACTGGGCGCACACTTCCCTCTTCAAGGCTGCTATCATACCAACGTTATTATACGGTTGTGAAACCTGGCCAATAAAAGTTGCTCATCAACACAAACTG